GGTGATGGGGGTGGTGATGGGGGTGATGGGGGTGATGGGAGTGTAAAAGACTGCAGTGCAGGTAAAGGGATGCATACCATACCACTATGGCAATGAGGTCACGGGTGTGGGTGCTGAGGACTGGTAGTGACTGGCGTTGACTGAGGCTGACTGACATTGACTGATGTTGAATGATATTGAATGGAGCCGTGCTGCTGCATCCACTGCTCTGCTGCTCTACCGCCGGCACTCCATTCGCCCTGAGACCAGAGGACGCATGGGGGAGAAGGAGTTGCGAGGAGTTTGGACTCGAACAGAGGGCAGGCAACAAAACCGGATAAATGAACCAGCAAGCATAACATGGATGCGCATGTGTATTACAGTGATAATCGAGAGGTGGAAGCGGGAACGGGGAAGGCGCATGGCGACAGTGGCCCACTGACTGGAGCCCACTGACTGGAGCCCACTGACTGGAGCCCACTGACTGCACCTCACTGACTGCACCTCACTGACCGCACCTCACTGACTGCACCTCACTGACTGGAGCCCACTGACTGGAGCCCACTGACTGGAGCTCACTGACTGGAGCTCACTGACTGGAGCTCACTGACTGGAGCTCACTGACTGGAGCTCACTGACTGGAGCCCACTGACTGGAGCTCACTGACTGGAGCTCACTGACTGGAGCTCACTGACTGGAGCTCACTGACTGGAGCCCACTGACTGCACCTCACTGACTGGAGCTCACTGACCGCACCTCACTGACTGCACCTCACTGACTGGAGCCCACTGACTGGAGCTCACTGACTGGAGCTCACTGACTGGAGCTCACTGACTGGAGCCCACTGACTGCACCTCACTGACTGGAGCTCACTGACTGCACCTCACTGACTGCACCTCACTGACTGCACCTCACTGACTGGAGCCCACTGACTGGAGCTCACTGACTGGAGCTCACTGACTGGAGCTCACTGACTGGAGCTCACTGACTGGAGCTCACTGACTGGAGCTCACTGACTGGAGCTCACTGACTGGAGCCCACTGACTGGAGCTCACTGACTGGAGCTCACTGACTGGAGCTCACTGACTGGAGCTCACTGACTGGAGCTCACTGACTGGAGCTCACTGACTGGAGCTCACTGACTGGAGCTCACTGACTGGAGCTCACTGACTGGAGCCCACTGACTGGAGCCCACTGACTGGAGCTCACTGACTGGAGCCCACTGACTGGAGCCCACTGACTGGAGCTCACTGACTGGAGCTCACTGACTGGAGCCCACTGACTGCACCTCACTGACTGGAGCTCACTGACTGCACCTCACTGACTGGAGCCCACTGACTGCACCTCACTGACTGGAGCTCACTGACTGGAGCTCACTGACTGGAGCTCACTGACTGGAGCTCACTGACTGGAGCTCACTGACTGGAGCTCACTGACTGGAGCTCACTGACTGGAGCCCACTGACTGCACCTCACTGACTGGAGCTCACTGACTGGATCTCACTGACTGGAGCTCACTGACTGGAGCTCACTGACTGGATCTCACTGACTGGAGCTCACTGACTGGAGCTCACAGACCCCTGCACTCCGTTCGCCCTGAGGCCAGAGGGGTAGACGGCACAGGGAGAAGGAGATGCAAAGGAAAAGGATCGGCCTCGGAACTTGAAATGAATGGGAGCAGCAAGAACGTCAAGGTGGCAATAGAGCAGACGCAGTGAAGAGCGAGCATTGAGAAACTTGAAAATGGAGCACAGCGAAAAAGGAGTGGTTGAATCGTGGTGGGAGGGGGGAACGGGGAAGGCGCATGGCGACAGACAGTGGGCAAACAGACAGTGGGCAAACAGACAGTGGGCAAACAGACAGTGGGCAAACAGACAGTGGGCAAACAGACAGTGGGCAAACAGACAGTGGGCAAACAGACAGTGGGCAAAGAGACAGTGGGCCACAGCACTAGAGCAGCGAGCTGAGCCAGCGAGGGGGGACTGGGGGACGCACGCATGGCATAAATGTACTCCCTCTCCACTACTCTATCCCACCACTCCCACTACACTGCACTCTACATGAGCTCTGCTGCCATAGCACCATGGACCACCACCACCATGCGCCAAGGGTCATAATTTGGCACTGCCTTCCATTCCCAACAGCCATGATTGCGCGAGCAACGCAGCTGACCTGGTCTCTCAGTTACCTGGTCTCTCAGTGACCTGGTCTCTCAGTGACCTGGTCTCTCAGTGACCTGGTCTCTCAGTGACCTGGTCTCTCAGTGACCTGGTCTCATAAGCTTCATCCTTGTCCTTCCACATGCTCGGTTCTCTTTCTTACCCTCGTATCTTCTCTTTGTCTCTCGAGTGCCCCTCTCTTCCTCTCTGCTTCCTTTTGGGTGTGTTGTTGATATGACGGGTTTGGACTGAAAAGTGAACTCAGATGAAGTGAGATGAAGTGCAGCCAACTGGCCATCAGCGGAAGAGCTCGTCGTTGTTTGTGAATGTGAGCAAAAAGCAACCGAACACCAGGAACAGCATATTATATCATGATATCAAATCATAGCATATCATATCATATCATATCATGAACATTGTGTAGGTAGCAAAACCATGAAAATCATGTGCCTGAATTGGACAACACTCATCATTTCAAATCAGGTCTTATTTTATCATGCAGAGAAGCTCAGCTCTCGTCTGCATTACCTCCTCTCGTCTGCATTACCTCCTCTCGTCTGCATTACCTCCTCTCGTCTGCATTACCTCCTCTCGTCTGCATTACCTCCTCTCGTCTGCATTACCTCCTCTCGTCTGCATTACCTCCTCTCGTCTGCATTACCTCCTCTCGTCTGCATTACCTCCTCTCGTCTGCATTACCTCCTCTCGTCTGCATTACCTCCTCTCGTCTGCTTCCAGGGCAACCAAAGCCGATCCGTTTGGAAGGCAAGACGGAGGATTAAGACCCGTGGTAGAGCTGAAGCAGATAGAATGTGATAAGATAGGTTCCTTCCTGCCCCGCTCCCTCCACTCCCCTGCATAGGAATCCCCCCACACTCCTCTTCCCCTGTCCCTAATCCCCCCACACTCTTCTTCCCCTGTCCCTAATCCCCCCACACTCCTCTTCCCCTGTCCCTAATCCCCCCACACTCCTCTTCCCCTGTCCCTAATCCCCCCACACTCCTCTTCCCCTGTCCCTAATCCCCCCACACTCCTCTTCCCCTGTCCCTAATCCCCCCACACTCCTCTTCCCCTGTCCCTAATCCATCCACACTCCTCTTCCCCTGTCCCTAATCCCCCCACACTCCTCTTCCCCTGTCCCTAATCCCCCCACACGCGTGGCCCCCCCTGCAACCCACCTCCTTGTGCGCCCCGCCTCCCCTCGAGACCCACCCACCTCAGCAACCCCCTGCGTAGGGCTCTATCCACCGGGCTAACCACAGAGGGTTATCCACAGGGCTAACCACAGGGCTAACCACAGGGCTAACCACAGGGCTAACCACAGGGCTAACCACAGGGCTAACCACAGGGCTAACCACAGGGCTAACCACAGGGCTAACCACAGGGCTAACCACAGGGTTAACCACAGGGCTAACCACAGGGCTAACCACAGGGCTAACCACAGGGCTAACCACAGGGCTAACCACAGGGCTAACCACAGGGCTAACCACAGGGCTAACCACAGGGCTAACCACAGGGCTAACCACAGGGCTTACCACAGGGCTAACCACAGGGCTAACCACAGGGCTAACCACAGGGCTAACCACAGGGCTAACCACAGGGCTAACCACAGGGCTAACCACAGGGCTAACCACAGGGCTAACCACAGGGTTAACCACAGGGCTAACCACAGGGCTAACCACAGGGCTAACCACAGGGCTAACCACAGGGCTAACCACAGGGCTAACCACAGGGCTAACCACAGGGCTAACCACAGGGCTAACCACAGGGTTAACCACAGGGCTAACCACAGGGCTAACCACAGGGCTAACCACAGGGCTAACCACAGGGCTAACCACAGGGCTAACCACAGGGCTAACCACAGGGCTAACCACAGGGCTAACCACAGGGCTAACCACAGGGTTAACCGCAGGGCTGACCACGGGCCTAATCTCAGCGCTTGTGCACCAGACCATGCGGATGACAGGGATGTGCACCGGGAATTCTAACCACAGAGTCTGTGCATCAGAGCGCACTAACCACAGGTTTATGCATGTGAGCACGCCAACTACGGGGAATAAGCATTGGGCCCATGGCTTGAACGTCAAGGGGACATAATGACAGCGCTTATGCATCACGGCAGGCTAGCTACAGAGATGGTGCACCAGGCAAGCACTGGGCTGTGCATTGGAGTCACCAAGTGGGGGATATGCACACAGGACTGTGCATCCGAGCAGTTTAATAACAGGGCTTGATTAATCCAGTTACATGAAATTGCCTAAAACGACTAAATCATCGATTCGTAGATATAATGCACAGACCCGTGGATCTTATCGTTGTAGCAGCCAATCAGTGTCATCTTGACTCTCTCATCTGCATTCGTTTCCAGTGAGAGGTGAGGCAACGCCAGCCATTTTTTGCAACAGAGGAGGAGGTGGAGCAGCAGAGCTGCAGAGGAGGCGAGAGGTGGTGGATCAGCAGAGGTGGCGAGAGGAGAGAAGCAGCACGGTGGTGCCAACGGTGATCCTCGTAACTGCCCGTGGCACCTCTGCTCTGAAGGGCACTTCCCTTAACTACTGCGAGCTTCCGATGGCGGGGTGTGTTTCTGGCGGCCAATAGCCCTAAGCTACGCACAGTTGCACATGATGGATACGGTATATTCCTTCAGGTAAATCATTAATGGGGACTTTGGTCCCTCTTGGCTGGTTCAGTAAGTGCCAACACCAAATGCATATTAGACATTTATCAGAAGCCTAACAACGCGCACGCCCAACTCTTGCGGACACCACGTGTGTGCATGCGTGCTACTTGCGTGCAGAATACTCGCAACTAATGGGTTCATCAAGTGCATGTATGTATGCATGTTACTTAGCACTGAACGTTTTCAACGGATCGTTTGACCTGCCCCTGCCTCCTCGCCCCCCTCTTCCTCTCCCTCCTCCTTCCCGTCCCCGTCCCCCACCCCTCCCCCTGTGGCCTCTGTTGACCCCCCCTCCCCTTCTCCCTCCTCTCCCTCCTTTCCCCCCATCCCGACTGTCTTGCTCTGCAGGAGGCAACTCGGTTAGGAACTTGCGCCGAGCCTCCGTGACAGCTTCGGCACGAAGGTACGTTGGGAGGACCTTGAGATGCGGGGAGGGGGCCACCTTGGCCAGCACCTTGTCGTGCTTCAGGAGGTCTGGCGGGGGGTAATGGAGAAGCAACGGGGTGAAAGAATGTGTGAGGGTGTGCGGGTATGTGAGAGTGAAATGACGGGCGACCTTGGCCAACACCTTGTCGTGCTTCAGGAGGTCTGGCGGGGGCGATGCAGCAAACAGGGGGTGACCGAAGGTGAGTGGGTGTGCAATGAGGAGGCAAATGGGTGTGCAATTAGGACCTTGGCTGGCAAGCACTTTGTGCTTGAGGAGGCCTGGCGTGCAACAATAGAGCAAAAAGCAGGTGGACCAGGCATGGTAGGACCAAGGACCTTGTAGTGGGGGAGCGGGGGAGAGAGGGGGCCGGGTGTCGTGAGGTTGAAACAAGAATAAGGAGACACTCTTTGTGGTGTTTCGAGAAGCTGGTGAGGAGATAAAGCGGTCCTTGAGCTTCTCCAAATGGAGAATCTCCCACCCCCTCCCGCATGACCACGTGCATGTGCCAAAGGAAGAAGCGGAGGGCGGGTGCACAAGGGAGAATGAGGGGAAGGAAGGAAGAATGAGGCAAAAGTGCACGCACCTCTGTCCTTGGGGTTGAGATCAAAGTGGTCTTTGAGCTTCTCCGAGTTGAGAATCTCCCACCGCAGCTCCTTGGCTCTCGCCTCGCGGATGGCCACGCGGGTGATCTTCCCTGCCACGTCCTCCCCGCGGTACCGCAGTGCCTCAACGCCCTCCTTGGGCAGGTACGGGTACGGCACGATCGCCCTGCACTCGTATGGCTTCGGCTTTGCTGGCTCCTCTTCGTCTTCGTCTTCCTCTTTCTCTGAATCGTCTGACTCCTCTTCTTCTTCTGACTCCTCCTGTTCCTCCTCGCCGTCCTCCTCTTCCTCATCTGTTCCTTCCTCCTCACCCTCTTCCTCGTCATCCTCCACTTCTCCCTCCTCTTCACTCTCCTCCCCCTCCTCATCCTCTGCTTCCCTTGCTCGCTTCCTACTGCTACCACTCCCACTCTCCCCTTTAACCCCATGCTCCACGCCGCCATGCGTGCCGCCCTTCTTGCCATCCTCGCCGCCCTTCTCGCCGCCCGCACGTGCCATGGACTGGGCAATCTTCCTGTCAAGAGCCTCCAATAGCGGCGCCTCTTTAGGGGACACCTGGCACGCACCGATTTGCCAGGGAAGAACAATCAGCGAGGGTGTGGAAAGGGATGAAGGGATTGAGAGTGCGACACGTGTGTGTTCCAAAACCAAGAGACGGAAAGATGTGGCACATGAGAGATGGAAGGAAGCATTGCCGTACCAGGGTTATTGCCATGCCAACGCTGCTGGCTCGGCCGGTCCTCCCCACCCGATGGACGTACGGCGCAAGCTGGTTCGGCACACTGTAGTTGATCACTGTCCTCACGTTCTTGAAGTCTATCCCCCGCACCACTCCATACTCCCCCGTATCCCTCTCCACCTCCTCTTCTCCCTCTTCCCGCCCTCCCTCCCCTCCCTCTGCTATCCGTACTCTACGTCGCTTAGAGTCTCGACCAGAATCACCCCTTCCATTATTGTTCCCCCCTTTCCCCCCGTTTTTCGCTGAGAGCCCCCCATTGTCGTCGTCTGTGGCAATGAGGAAGAAAAACTTTCCGGCGTTGAAATCGTGCAGAATGTGCAGCCGCGACGCGACGGGCAGCTCGGAATTTAGAACGGCTGCCCGGATGCCAAACTGCTCGAGGAAAAGTTTCACCCGGAATCCGGCTTTGACAGTGGAGGTGAAAATGAGAACCTTTTTCTGCAGCAGCTGCAGGCGAATCAGCGCGAGCAGGTGGAGTAGCTTGTCCTTTTCCTCGCAGCGGACGGCAAACTGGCGGATATTGGGCGGCAGGAGAGACTGGTTCTGGTTACTCTGACCTCCTGCACCTGCTTCTGCTGCCTCTCCTGCAGCAGCTGCCTCTGCTACTGCCTGTCCTTCCACTCCCAAACCCACACCACCACCACTCCCAGCACCCCCCTGGGCATCCTCAAGGAGACCTGAGCTGTCTCCTAGTCGCACGACCACTGGATTGTGCAGCACTAACTTCTGTAATCGCTCTATGTCGTCACTGGTGTGGGAAGTGGGGAGGGAGTATGGTGGGATGGAGGAGCGCGGGTTAGACCAAACAGAGTGAGCCGTTTTGGTGTTTGCTTGTCTGTTTTTCTTTGATTTCCAAGAATGGCCTGGAAAAGGGAGGGGAGCTGACCTGAAGGTGGCGGTGAGGAGGAGGCACTGACAGCTGACAGGCACGTGGCGCGCTATGGCCTGCACCTCACTGTAGTAGCCGTGCGATAAAAGCACATCCGCCTGTTGGCACACATGGGATGGCAGGGAGGGTTGCATGAGCGGAGGGACTGGTAGCAGCAGCTGACAGGCACGTGGCGCGCTATGGCCTGCACCTCACCGTAGTACCCGTGCGATAGCAGCACACCTGCCTGTTGGCATGGCACACATGCAACGGGAGAGAGGGATGACGTGTGGTAACTGTCAATGCCATGGGAGCACAAATGGCAGCATCTATGACAGCTCGCAGTGCATTCCCTCGTCCCCCCCCTCACACCTGCACCAATCGCCCATTGCAATCCCAACCTCCTCCCCTCCTCTCCGCACCTCGTCCAGCACCATGACAGCGAGGTGTGTATTGAGAGCCGAGGGCGCCAGCACCACCTCAGCCACACACGCCGCCACCCACCCACCCACCCACCCACGCCATCTGTCCCCTGCCTCAACAACACACTGTCCTGCCTCGCCCTCCCTCAACGCCCTCCCTCCCCTTTCTTAACCCATCCACCCCCTTACTCCCGCACCTCGTCCAGCACCATGACAGCGAGGTGTGTCTTGAGCGCCGAGGGCGACAGCACACCCTCCGCCACACACGCCGCCATGCGCGCTGGCGTTGCCACCACCACGTCTGGCCGCCTCTCCATGGCCGCTCGCTGTAGTGAGGGGAGAAAGAAGAGGGGAGAGCGCATGGAGAAAAGGAGGGATAGACATGGGGGATGACTCACGAAGGGGACATGCCCTCCGCCACACACGCTGCCATGCCATGCGCGCTGGCGTTGCCACCACTATCACGTTTGGTTTCTCCATGGCCGCTCGCTGCAGGGAGGAGGTCAATTAGGGGAGGGATTTGGAAATTTGCATGGGGGATAAAGGAGAGCATGAGGCATGTTGTTTGGATGGTGGATAACATGAGAGCATGGCACGGGGAATACAGGGTTAACTTAGTCAGACGGACTGAAGGAAGCAACCGAGTGGTTTTTCCTGCTTGTGATCTCTAAAGTAAAAAAAGGAGGGAAGATTCGACTCACCATGGCAGCATTGTTCATGCCGGTGGTGAGGCGCTGTACGGTTAGTGCACCCCCGCAGTACTGCCCCATAGCTGCTACCTCCTCCGCCACCTGCCAGTGCCATGGCCGGTTGACAGGGATCATGCGGGAACAGTGCAGCGGGTCAAACGGTGGCAGCATACTCAACCAAGCGCATGCATCTTCTCCTGCCCAAATCTCTACCACCCGCTCCCTCCCCCCTCCCTCTCTCCCAACAATCTCTCGCCCTACTTCTACTCCGCCCTCCCCCAGCCACGCGCACCTGCTGGCAGAGCTCCCGCGTGGGCACCAGCACCACTGCGCGGGGACAAGTGCCCCCTGGAAGCCACCCGCGGCCAACTCACTATATCTCTCTCTCGCTCCCTCCTCACCCCTTTCCCAACAATCTCTCGCCCTCCTTCTCCCTGTGCCCTCCTCCGCGCACCTGCTGGCAGAGCTCGCGCGTGGGCACCAGCACCACTGCGCGCGGACAGGTCCCCCCCGCGCCAGCGGCGGCGGGCGCGGAGTCCTTGTCGGCGAGCACGCGGTGCAGCAGCGGCAGCAGGTACGCGAGGGTCTTGCCCGACCCCGTGTGCGCCATCGCCACCACGTCGCGCCCCTCCTGCGCCAAGAGAGAGGAGATGATGAAGGGCGGTGATGGAGGGAGGGCAATCGATCGTGAAGGCGAGGAGATGGAGGAAGGGTTGATGGTTAAACGGGGTTTTGGGGAGGTTCTGGGTCTCTCTGAGATGTTGCTGCAAATTGCTTCCCTGCTATTTTAGAAACCGTCTTAACGCACTTCAGCACACGCCGAATGCGGTCCTGTCGTCCTGATAAATATATTTCACTTTCCGCGATTTTTAGCTCTAAAACTGATGGCTATAATACTCAACGACGAGCGGCACCCACCATAGCAAGCGGCACGCAGTACTGCTGTACGGGAGTCGGCTTCCCCTTCCTCCTCTCCGCTTCCCTTGTCTTCCCCTTCCTCCTCTCCGCTTTTGCTCTCGTCGCCGGAATCTGTTCCTTCCTCATCGGTGTCTGTTGACTCTTCCTCACCCTCCACATCCTCTTCCTCCCGACCAGAGAGTAATTTCACTGCACTCGGTTCTTCTATTCCCTTCGCCGCTTTCCCGTTCGAACAGGCTTTCCTCAAAATGCCTGACATGTTCTTCGCCATGGTTGTTGTCCTAGGCCGTCTATCGGTCTAAGGAGTATGACTAAGTTGTAAGGATGTCTCTTCCCTTTTGCTTCGTTGTCACTCAAGCTCGCTGCAGCTCCTATAAAAAGCGCTAGTACGCTCCTCGTAGTAGTTTGCTTCGTTGTCACTCAAGCTCGCTGCAGCTCCTATAAAAAGCGCTAGTACGCTCCTCGTAGTAGTTTGCTTCGTTGTCACTCAAGCTCGCTGCAGCTCCTATAAAAAGCGCTAGTACGCTCCTCGTAGTAGTTTGCTTCGTTGTCACTCAAGCTCGCTGCAGCTCCTATAAAAAGCGCTAGTACGCTCCTCGTAGTAGTTTGCTTCGTTGTCACTCAAGCTCGCTGCAGCTCCTATAAAAAGCGCTAGTACGCTCCTCGTAGTAGTTTGCTTCGTTGTCACTCAAGCTCGCTGCAGCTCCTATAAAAAGCGCTAGTACGCTCCTCGTAGTAGTTTGCTTCGTTGTCACTCAAGCTCGCTGCAGCTCCTATAAAAAGCGCTAGTACGCTCCTCGTAGTAGTTTGCTTCGTTGTCACTCAAGCTCGCTGCAGCTCCTATAAAAAGCGCTAGTACGCTCCTCGTAGTAGTTTGCTTCGTTGTCACTCAAGCTCGCTGCAGCTCCTATAAAAAGCGCTAGTACGCTCCTCGTAGTAGTTTGCTTCGTTGTCACTCAAGCTCGCTGCAGCTCCTATAAAAAGCGCTAGTACGCTCCTCGTAGTAGTTTGCTTCGTTGTCACTCAAGCTCGCTGCAGCTCCTATAAAAAGCGCTAGTACGCTCCTCGTAGTAGTTTGCTTCGTTGTCACTCAAGCTCGCTGCAGCTCCTATAAAAAGCGCTAGTACGCTCCTCGTAGTAGTTTGCTTCGTTGTCACTCAAGCTCGCTGCAGCTCCTATAAAAAGCGCTAGTACGCTCCTCGTAGTAGTTTGCTTCGTTGTCACTCAAGCTCGCTGCAGCTCCTATAAAAAGCGCTAGTACGCTCCTCGTAGTAGTTTGCTTCGTTGTCACTCAAGCTCGCTGCAGCTCCTATAAAAAGCGCTAGTACGCTCCTCGTAGTAGTTTGCTTCGTTGTCACTCAAGCTCGCTGCAGCTCCTATAAAAAGCGCTAGTACGCTCCTCGTAGTAGTTTGCTTCGTTGTCACTCAAGCTCGCTGCAGCTCCTATAAAAAGCGCTAGTACGCTCCTCGTAGTAGTTTGCTTCGTTGTCACTCAAGCTCGCTGCAGCTCCTATAAAAAGCGCTAGTACGCTCCTCGTAGTAGTTTGCTTCGTTGTCACTCAAGCTCGCTGCAGCTCCTATAAAAAGCGCTAGTACGCTCCTCGTAGTAGTTTGCTTCGTTGTCACTCAAGCTCGCTGCAGCTCCTATAAAAAGCGCTAGTACGCTCCTCGTAGTAGTTTGCTTCGTTGTCACTCAAGCTCGCTGCAGCTCCTATAAAAAGCGCTAGTACGCTCCTCGTAGTAGTTTGCTTCGTTGTCACTCAAGCTCGCTGCAGCTCCTATAAAAAGCGCTAGTACGCTCCTCGTAGTAGTTTGCTTCGTTGTCACTCAAGCTCGCTGCAGCTCCTATAAAAAGCGCTAGTACGCTCCTCGTAGTAGTTTGCTTCGTTGTCACTCAAGCTCGCTGCAGCTCCTATAAAAAGCGCTAGTACGCTCCTCGTAGTAGTTTGCTTCGTTGTCACTCAAGCTCGCTGCAGCTCCTATAAAAAGCGCTAGTACGCTCCTCGTAGTAGTTTGCTTCGTTGTCACTCAAGCTCGCTGCAGCTCCTATAAAAAGCGCTAGTACGCTCCTCGTAGTAGTTTGCTTCGTTGTCACTCAAGCTCGCTGCAGCTCCTATAAAAAGCGCTAGTACGCTCCTCGTAGTAGTTTGCTTCGTTGTCACTCAAGCTCGCTGCAGCTCCTATAAAAAGCGCTAGTACGCTCCTCGTAGTAGTTTGCTTCGTTGTCACTCAAGCTCGCTGCAGCTCCTATAAAAAGCGCTAGTACGCTCCTCGTAGTAGTTTGCTTCGTTGTCACTCAAGCTCGCTGCAGCTCCTATAAAAAGCGCTAGTACGCTCCTCGTAGTAGTTTGCTTCGTTGTCACTCAAGCTCGCTGCAGCTCCTATAAAAAGCGCTAGTACGCTCCTCGTAGTAGTTTGCTTCGTTGTCACTCAAGCTCGCTGCAGCTCCTATAAAAAGCGCTAGTACGCTCCTCGTAGTAGTTTGCTTCGTTGTCACTCAAGCTCGCTGCAGCTCCTATAAAAAGCGCTAGTACGCTCCTCGTAGTAGTTTGCTTCGTTGTCACTCAAGCTCGCTGCAGCTCCTATAAAAAGCGCTAGTACGCTCCTCGTAGTAGTTTGCTTCGTTGTCACTCAAGCTCGCTGCAGCTCCTATAAAAAGCGCTAGTACGCTCCTCGTAGTAGTTTGCTTCGTTGTCACTCAAGCTCGCTGCAGCTCCTATAAAAAGCGCTAGTACGCTCCTCGTAGTAGTTTGCTTCGTTGTCACTCAAGCTCGCTGCAGCTCCTATAAAAAGCGCTAGTACGCTCCTCGTAGTAGTTTGCTTCGTTGTCACTCAAGCTCGCTGCAGCTCCTATAAAAAGCGCTAGTACGCTCCTCGTAGTAGTTTGCTTCGTTGTCACTCAAGCTCGCTGCAGCTCCTATAAAAAGCGCTAGTACGCTCCTCGTAGTAGTTTGCTTCGTTGTCACTCAAGCTCGCTGCAGCTCCTATAAAAAGCGCTAGTACGCTCCTCGTAGTAGTTTGCTTCGTTGTCACTCAAGCTCGCTGCAGCTCCTATAAAAAGCGCTAGTACGCTCCTCGTAGTAGTTTGCTTCGTTGTCACTCAAGCTCGCTGCAGCTCCTATAAAAAGCGCTAGTACGCTCCTCGTAGTAGTTTGCTTCGTTGTCACTCAAGCTCGCTGCAGCTCCTATAAAAAGCGCTAGTACGCTCCTCGTAGTAGTTTGCTTCGTTGTCACTCAAGCTCGCTGCAGCTCCTATAAAAAGCGCTAGTACGCTCCTCGTAGTAGTTTGCTTCGTTGTCACTCAAGCTCGCTGCAGCTCCTATAAAAAGCGCTAGTACGCTCCTCGTAGTAGTTTGCTTCGTTGTCACTCAAGCTCGCTGCAGCTCCTATAAAAAGCGCTAGTACGCTCCTCGTAGTAGTTTGCTTCGTTGTCACTCAAGCTCGCTGCAGCTCCTATAAAAAGCGCTAGTACGCTCCTCGTAGTAGTTTGCTTCGTTGTCACTCAAGCTCGCTGCAGCTCCTATAAAAAGCGCTAGTACGCTCCTCGTAGTAGTTTGCTTCGTTGTCACTCAAGCTCGCTGCAGCTCCTATAAAAAGCGCTAGTACGCTCCTCGTAGTAGTTTGCTTCGTTGTCACTCAAGCTCGCTGCAGCTCCTATAAAAAGCGCTAGTACGCTCCTCGTAGTAGTTTGCTTCGTTGTCACTCAAGCTCGCTGCAGCTCCTATAAAAAGCGCTAGTACGCTCCTCGTAGTAGTTTGCTTCGTTGTCACTCAAGCTCGCTGCAGCTCCTATAAAAAGCGCTAGTACGCTCCTCGTAGTAGTTTGCTTCGTTGTCACTCAAGCTCGCTGCAGCTCCTATAAAAAGCGCTAGTACGCTCCTCGTAGTAGTTTGCTTCGTTGTCACTCAAGCTCGCTGCAGCTCCTATAAAAAGCGCTAGTACGCTCCTCGTAGTAGTTTGCTTCGTTGTCACTCAAGCTCGCTGCAGCTCCTATAAAAAGCGCTAGTACGCTCCTCGTAGTAGTTTGCTTCGTTGTCACTCAAGCTCGCTGCAGCTCCTATAAAAAGCGCTAGTACGCTCCTCGTAGTAGTTTGCTTCGTTGTCACTCAAGCTCGCTGCAGCTCCTATAAAAAGCGCTAGTACGCTCCTCGTAGTAGTTTGCTTCGTTGTCACTCAAGCTCGCTGCAGCTCCTATAAAAAGCGCTAGTACGCTCCTCGTAGTAGTTTGCTTCGTTGTCACTCAAGCTCGCTGCAGCTCCTATAAAAAGCGCTAGTACGCTCCTCGTAGTAGTTCGCTAAGCTGCTCGCTCAAGTAAAGCTGCTAAGCTCACTACTCTCCGCTAAAAGGGCGAAATCAGCAACCTTGCATCTTCTTTTATACTCGTACATTTGAGCCACGACTTGCTAGCAATCCGCGACACCCTTGACGCGACGAGCCGATCGAAACTACAATCGTGGATCTACCGTGTCGGTGTTGGCGCACGTTGATACGAAACTAGGGCTTATCTGGCAAGCAATTAGTGCACGGCGCAGAGTGGAGTCTTCCTTGCAACGGCGTGGCTTGAGCTTTGTGTTGAGCAGCAGTGGATAGCACGGTGCCGTCATCAGTTTCTACCTCCTGCTGCACGAACAACAGATTTGCGAACCCCCCCTTCCCCCGAAGTGCATTTTCGCCTCCCCCCACCAACCCAACTTCCCGCCACTTTGCCAACCTCACATCCGCGCTTGTGCTTCTCCCCAGCCACTTTTTGTGACCTTCCTCGCTACACCAACTTTTTCCTTGAAACAAAGACTACACTTTCCACCTCATTTGTTATGCTTCCTTTACCTCCAACATCATTTTGCATGCCACCAGCCCAATACCTTACAGAATGACAGGCCGCAAAAGGGGCCGTGCTGCCCAAGACTCTGAACCCACTTCTCCTCGTCCGCCTGCCCGTTCGCGACAAACTCCAGCCTTCGCGATTCTTTCGACCTCCTCATCAAACCTTGCACCACCCCCTACTCCTAAGCCTCAATCATCTTCTGCTCCCTCCCAGCAACCTCAGCCAACAGCAGCGCCAAAAATTGTCTCGGAGAAACAAAAGGAGATTCTCCAGCAGGTCCTTAAAGCCACCCTTCCTGATTCTCCGTCTCCATCACGGCCTCAAACCTCTCACCCTCAGCCCTCGACTTCCCGTGCCCATCTTTCATCTACCTCAACACCTCCACCGACGACTACAGCAGATGCTCCTGATCCCACAGCCCCTGCCGACAACACGCACCCACTATCACACTATGAAACTGCTGCTTCACCTTCTCGAGATCCCCCTCCTCCTTCCCTTACCCCTCACGCTACGCAGCCATGCCCGCAACCCTGCCCGCCCTCATCAACCTCCGATAACCCACTACCTCCTAATTCTTGCCCCACATGTCGACGCACCTTTGCCAACTCAGGTTCGCTGGCCCGTCACCTTCCAGCCTGCTCTCGCAACACCGCCACACGTCAGCAAGCTGCTCGGCCTCCTCCTCCCCGCTCATCAGCCCCAACCTCGGCGCCTGCAGCCGTAGATCGACCTGCAATTCCTCAAGCCACTTGGGAGGCCGTTCCTTCCTGGGATTGGCCTTCCTTCTTCAGCCCAGCAGTCTCACCTGGCCCTATTCTCCGCCGAATCCCCTCCCGCATCCGACTCCTCATTCTCGATGCACTTCTCATTCCACTGCGCCGCCTTGCACAGCATCCTTCTGACGACGCTGCACACCTCATTCTCTTGGCATTTCCGCGTCTCTTGCTGCGCCTACCATCCGCCGCTGCTCCCACGCAGTCCCTTACCTCTTCATGTGCCTCCTTAGCGCGCCGCTTCATCAATGGTGACTGGCAGTCTCTTTTCAGTGAAGCCGTAGCTGCAGCCACTCCAGCCGCCAGACCTCTGCACATGGCATCGGCACGTTCTACGGCGCTGCAGGCTCGTCTCAACCGTGCGAAACGGTTTGCGAAATGCGGGGACTGGTCACGTTCACTGGCAGCACTGGAAGCTGGCGAGCTAGCTCCTCCATCATCAGAAACGGTTGCTACCCTCAGCTCCAAGCACCCACCTGCTGCAGCAGAAATTCCTGACTGGGTACACAGCTTCACTCCTACAGCCGCACCACAGCTTACTGTCCCTGTTCTCCAGGCCGCTCTACAGTCCGCCCCCCGTGGCACAGCTGCTGGACCTTCTGGGTGGTTCATTGAGCACCTCAGGGACACGTTTCTCTCTCACCAGCAGCATCTCCCTTCTCTCCTCCACGTATTCCAGAACTGGCTGCAGGGTGATCTTCCACTTGCAGTCAGGCCTTTCTACACCGCTTCGAACCTCGTGGCCCTACAGAAACCGCATGGTGTTGTACGTCCCATCGCCATTGGGGAAGTGCTACCACGCCTCCTTTCACGCTGCATCACTCTCCTTTTCAAGCAGCAGATGCGAGAGACATTCCTTCCTCACCTTCAATTTGGCGTAGCAGTTCCGGCCGGGATCGAGATTATGTCGCACGCAGTGTGCTCCGCCTTCTCCCTTCATCCAGACTGGGTGGTGCTTCAGCTGGACGTTGCAAACGCGTTCAACTCATTCAACCGGGTTTCCATGTTTGAGGCATTAAGGCGCTCCCCATTCTCTATTCTCATTCCATTCTTCCGCCTATTCTACTCCACCCCTTCACCTCTCCACTACCGCAGCGGCCCCCTTCTCCACACATTCCAGTCAGCTTCTGGTGTTCGTCAAGGCGACCCTTGTGGCCCTTTTCTTTACGCCCTAACACAGCAGCTAGCCATCCAACCAACCCAGCAACAGTCTCCCTCAATTTTCGTTACCTCATACGCAGACGATACCTACTTGGTCGGCCCTCCCTCAGACGTCTTTTCCGCATACAATGACCTTACCTCCCGCCTTCTCTCTCTTGGCCTTACTGTCCAACCCTCTAAGTGCTCTCTATGGGCCCCTATGGACTTGCCCGAACACTGCATTCCGCCCCCGGGTATTTCCATCGCTGCAAACGGTCTCACTGTGGCTGGAGTTCCCACCGGCTCAGACGGTTTCATCATCTCTACAGTTCGTGACAAGCTCGATTCTTTCACTACCTCCCTCCCTTTACTGCATCAATTGCAGGACCCACAGATTGCCTCACGGATCCTTTCCTTATGCATCACTGCCCGACCTTCTTTCCTCCTCAGAACTGTCGCACATTTTCCCGAAATCCAAGAGCTACTCTCTTCATGGGACAGCACGATTTTCAGCCACTTCTCTCAGCTCCTGGGCTCCGAGTACTGGAATCCCACCTCTGAACGGTCCACATCGGCCCGCCTCCAAGCCTCGCTCCCTATCCGCTTAGGTGGCTTCGGCATTCGCAGCTCTGCATCCATCGCCCCCCTCAGTTACCTTTGCAGCTGGACGCAGGCAGTTTCGACCCTATCCACCCACTTCATCACTGATGGTGCTCCTCTTTTCCGCCCTTACGTCACCACGGACTCCATTAACCTCCTCGACCCTTCAATCTCATCTACCATGACCATGCTTCCCCAAGACATTCGTGACCGCTTCCCATCATGGCCTGTGCTTCAATCGGGCTACCCTCCTAAACTCTTTACTCACCTCTCCCAACACCTCGAAGCCGATTTGCTGGAGAAGGTTCGAGCCACAGTAACGTCCCCGCTTCGCCTTGCTCGTCTAACCTCTTTGCAGGGCCCGCATGCAGGTGACTGGCTCACTGTGGCTCCATCCTCCCCGCACATGCAGCTTTCAGAGACCGAGTGGCGCATTGCAGCAGCTATCCGCTTAGGCCTTCCTCTTCCTCACCTTTCATCTTCACTCACCTGCACCTGCAACTCCCCGTTCACCGATCCTTCCATCCATTCTCATGTCCTTCGCTGCCCTAGCAACAACGAGCCTACTAAGGTGCACGACGCAATCAAACGAAAAGTTCATCGCATTGCCTTGGAGCTTGGGTTCTCTGCGCAGATGGAAGACCAGCATCTCCTGCCTGGCCGCCGCACAGACATCACGTGCCGCGACATTAGCTCTGGTACCACCTGGGCCTTGGATGTTTTTATTGCTGATCCACAAAAGGGGTTTCCACACTCCAACGCAGCTACGGTGATTGGTTCAGCAGCAGCCACTCGTGAAAGTGAGAAGACCACCCACTATGCTGCAGCACTTCGTGACCGTCCAGACGTCAAACTGTTTCCCCTTGTCATCGAAACCTTCGGTTGCTTCGGCTCATCGTTCAACAATTTCCTACGCCAATGCAGCCGCAAAGGGGCTTCACAACTCCGTGACTTGAGTGGTGCTACAGATTTCCTTCCCCTGCTGTTTGAGACCAACTTCTACAAACGGATTTCTCTGGTCCATCAACGTGAGCAGTCTCGCACTGTTTGTCGTCGTGCACAAATTCGTTTTACCGAGGGCGTCAACCACGCACCACCCGAGGTGACTTCTCTTTCTGCAGCTGACTTTGCCTACTTTGGAGAGGACCACTGAGACATCTCAGAGGCCTATTTGTAGGCCTCACAATAGGATTAGCCTGCATGTCTTTCCATACACTAGATGCTTGGATTTGTCTTGTATCCATTGTACATTTATTATAGTGTCAATGAAGAGGTAAATTCTAGTGTAAATGCTTCGCTGGTTCACGACAGTCTAGAAATGTCGCGAAGCTGCAGCATTTGGGCAGAACCTCGTAACTTCGCAACCTGCAAAAATATCCTGGGACTCGGGTGTCCATCTCCCCCTTTCGCAACTTTCGCAGACAGATCCACTTCCAACCAAGCTGCTCAAATTTCCACCAATACCAACCCGCCACCTCTCCCAACCCTCCGCGAAACCCAGAACAAAAAAGTCGCAAAACCCAGACTCGCGACAGTCATGTTGTTGGACGAGGTGGAGCGCAGCAATCGTCTCTTTTTCGCCAAGGTTGCGTGTGCTTACGACACTCCCTAGGCCCTCGAGATCTGTTGGCGTGAGCTTTTTCAGGTGGACGCAAGAGTGGCTTGGCTCGGATTGGACAGCTGCGGCAGCTCCAGCGCGTTCAGGCTTCATCAGGTTCTCCCTCAACCTGCTAAACGCTTTCCACCGTGCTTTGTTTGAGAGATGACGATTCAATATCAGTCTCTCTGACCTTACACTTTCTCATTTTTGCCTTGCCTTTTTAGATTCCGCCTCCCAAGGAACCTTTCCTGAAACTTAGGCTGTGGTGGAGTCTACAAGACAAGGCAGCTGCATTCTTTCTCTACCTTACCTTGCCGGCAGCTTCGTCTGCCTATATTTCACCTTTCCGAAGTGCTGACTCTCTGTGGTCGGCGATTGTCGTAGATCGTTAGCGTGGACTGGTCATCATGGCTGCTTTAGTGCCAGCGACAGCCCTCCGTGCACCCGTAAGACCAAGCACCTGTTTCCTGTGACCGTTTTTTCCATTCAAGAGCTCTGTGTAGTGCCTTGGCCTTTGATATACCGTTTTTTGTTTCCCCCGACCAATGCTTATCGGTCCTGATCTCAGCATTGTACTGGAATTGACGACCATATTTTTCCTTGATTTGTTTTTTGGTGTTGAAGCTTGCACCTTTATCTTCGCACAGCGCATGTCAAATTCGTTAGCATTTCCGCCATGGTTCTCAAGGCCTTTGCGCTTCATCTCGTTCCGTCGTTTCTGTCAGGGCGCGGCGGTGCACCATGGTTCCTCCTCAACGACTTTCGCCGGAGGCGTGTCGTCGTCGCGGCTCCTTCCCGCGGCGTCGCCAGCCGTCGCCAGCCGGATGCCGGTTGCGATCCGTGCCGTCGCTGTGCCTCCTGCTCCCAGCAAGCAGAGCACCCCCGCTTCTACCGGCGCGGTAAGCCGAACGCTGATGACCGACCGCCAAACACCAATTCCGATCGTTCTTCTTTCACGTCGGTATCGAGCTCTTGCGTTTCTGTCCCGTTCGCGTTCCGCCTCCTTCGCTGTCATCCTCACCGATTCACCAGGGAACCGGAGTGCACCGATCTGATCTCCATTCCCCCCCCCCCCACGCTCGCTGGGGGAAACTACCCATGCACGGCGGAGTGCGATCTTGCGCAAGCGTCGTTTCCTCACTCCCGCTGTTCACACTAAGCCTTTCGCTAACTTCCCTCCTCGGTACCACGTGAATCGCGCATGACGACGACGGAGAAGGTTCTCTCGCCTTCGGATTCACGACAGCAAAGTCGTCCATCAGTTCCCCGTTCGCTTATTCTCATGCTTCCGTTTCAGCTCCCCCACCCCCCTACCCCCTCATTCCCCCCAATCCTCTCCGCCTTCCGCCGGCAGGAAGAAGATCCTGGCGCGCGCGGCGGAGAAGCCTCCCGTCCCTGCTCTCGCATATTCCCGTGCTTCACCCGTTTGCGCGCCTCCGCTTCCCCCTTTTCCCCCTTCCCCCTGTGCCCGCGCTCTCCCCCGCCAGGTGAAGTCCCCCATGACGATGACGGAGAAGATCCTGGCGCGCGCGGCGGAGCGGGCGCGCGTGGCGCCGGGCGAGAACGTGTGGGTGAACACGGACGTGCTGATGACGCACGACGTGTGCGGCCCCGGCACCATCGGCATCTTCAAGAAGGAGTTCGGCGCCGACGCCAAGGTGAGGCCGTGGAGTCAATTCCAACAGCCGCTCTCCCTCCTCTTCCTTGCCCCCTATCCTCTCTCCTCCCCATCCCCCCTCCCTCCTCCCCCGCTGACCGTTCCCTCTTTATTTCAAGCGGACGAGCGCGTCAACCACAGCACGGAGCTCAAGTTTCCCTCCTGCCCTTCCCCTTCCCCCCTTTCCGCCGCCTCCCCTTCTCACACCTTCCCCCGCGCAGGTGTGGGACCGCGAGAAGATCGTAATCATCCCGGACCATTACATCTTCACGGCGGACGAGCGCGCGAACCGCAACGTGGACATCCTGAGGGACTTCGTGCAGGAGCAGAACATCAAGTACTTCTACGACATCACCGACCGCTCCAACTTCCAGGTAAGCCGGTGGTTGAAGGTGGAGACAGTACGTGCACTGAAGCAGGTACTTCAGGTGCCGTGCAGGAGCAGGCAGGGCATCAAGTACTTTTATGACACCACCGATCGCTCCAACTTCCAGGTGCGCTGGTGATTGTGCACCTGCTGTATTTATATAATCTCCACCGTCCCTTTTTCTAATTTTATTATGATCCAACGGCTGACGCACGCGACACTCCAACAACAACTGCTCGTGCGATTGAACTCTTGTCGCCTGCTTGCTCTCCCATCCTCCCTGTGCCTATCGCTCTCGCTGCGTGCAGGCCAACCCCGACTACAAGGGCGTGTGCCACGTGGCGCTCGCGCAGGAGGGGCACTGCCGACCAGGCGAGGTGCGCACATGGGGGGAAAGGGGGAGGAGAAAGGGAGGGGAAAGGTTGGGTGGGAAGGGGAAGGGCAGTGGAGTGGGGAGGGAAGGAACGTCGGTTTAGAACGTCATTGGAGGGGGAGAAAAGATGGATACATTTTTAGCATGGTCCAGGATGCAATGCTCTTCCGTGGTTATGTTTGTGCTTGCCATGCCATGTACTGTCTTCTACACCACATCCATGTGCCCCCTGTTGTTCCCAACCCTGTTACCCTGCCCTCTCCCGCAATTTAAGCACACCTTCCCCCGTTCTCCTCGTTCCCCCTCTCCTCCCCGCTTCCTCCCGTGCCGTGCGAGCAGGTGCTGTTTGGCACGGACTCGCACACGTGCAACGCGGGAGCGTTTGGGCAGTTCGCGACGGGCATTGGCAACACGGACGCCGGCTTCATCCTCGGCACCGGCAAGTGCCTGCTCAAGGTGCGTCGCACCCCTCGCCCATCGCCCCTCATGCCTGCTCATCCTGCCCCTGCCCCTCCCCTCCCTTGATCCTCCTGCCGCTTATCATCCACGCCTTTCCTAGTCGTCTCCCTTCATCTCTCTGCGCTGTTTCTCGCTTGGACGTTTCCACCCCATCAGGTGCCGGCCACGCTCCGGTTTGTGCTGGACGGGGAGATGCCGCCCTACCTGCTCGCTAAGGACCTTATCCTGCAGGTTAGTTATCTACCTTCCTGCTCGTTCACTTCCCGCTTCATCTTCTTCCCACTCGTCTCCCCTCCGCACAACTTTTCTTCCCCCGTGACTTCTTCTCTTGGCTATTTGCATCCCTTTCCTCCCTTCCCGGTTTGCTCTTCGCTGTGTGTTCTTTTCACCTCCCTTTTTCGTCAATCCTTTCATTTCGCACTCCCTTTCACACGCCCTGTACGTGGGTGGTGTAACGTGCCAGTTGCGACAGCCGAGCCGCCACCATGCACTCTTTGCTGCACTGCGCTCGCCACGTGACACTTGTTGTCAAATTGCAATGTCCCTTTTCAACCCATCTTCCTCTTCCTGCTCTTTCTCTCCCCCTCCCTCTTCCCCCCTCTCCCTCTCCCCCATCTTTCCGTCCTTCTCCCCTTTTCTCCTTCCCCCTCTCTTTCTCTCCCTCCCGCTCCGTCCGGCCCCACCTCCCAATGCTGGCCGTCAGATCATCGGTGAGATCGGAGTGGCAGGGGGCACGTACCGGGCCATGGAGTTCACAGGCACTGCCGTTGAAGCCATGACGGTGAGTGCCTCCCGCCCCGCTCATCTCCTTGTCTCACCCCCTCATTACCCTCGTTCCCCCCTCACCTCCCCCTCTGCCCGGTTACGCCTATTCTCTCTTTTACCAGATCCCATTCTCTCACGACCTCTTTCTCTGCTATCAGTCCTTTCTTTCCGGCTCGACCAATGTTGAGTTCAGTATTCTATTCATTCGCGTCCTGGTAATCACCTCCCTGGTCTTACGATCCCTTCAACCCTCACACTGGCAGCCCCCCTCTTCCATCCTGGTTTCTCCTATCCCTTTCCTCTTCCTGCCTGCCTGCCTGCCCCTGTCAGATGGAGGATCGCATGACGCTGTGCAACATGGTCATCGAGGGCGGAGGCAAGAACGGTGTGGTGGCGGCAGACAAGACCACCTTCGCCTACCTCGATGTGCGCCCCTTCCCCTGCCCCTGCTCTACTCTCCTCCTCCATCTGCCCACATGTGCTCTCGCATGCTCTTCTAGGCTCTGCTATGCTCTAGTGTTGCACCAAACTCTTATGGCTAGCTCTGCTCTGACGTGTGTGGCTCCGCCTGTGCCTGTGCCTGTGCCTGTGCCTGTGCCTGTGCCTGTGCCTGTGCCTGTCTCTGTGCCTGTCTCTGTGCCTGTCTCTGTGCCTGTCTCTGTGCCCTGTGCCTGTCTCTGTGCCTGTCTCTGTCTCTGTGCCTGTCTCTGTGCCCTGTGCCTGTCTCTGTCTCTGTGCCTGCCCCTGTCTCTGTGCCTGTCCCTGCCTGTGCGTGCTGGCTGCAGGGCAAGACCACGTTGACGCATGAGCCTGTCTACAGCGATGGCAACGCCAGGTGAGCCGCCTGTTTCTGTCCGTCCATGCTCCCTCCGCTGGTTTTCTCTCGCTGTCTACTCATATCCGCGTCCATCCATGTCTCAGGTACCCTATTGCCAGCCTCTGCCCTTCCTATTAAGTGTCACCTTCGTGCTTACCCTTCCTCCTGCTTTTTTCCTTTGTCCCCCTTCACCCTGCCTGCAGCTTCTATGAGGAGTATCGGTTCGACGTCTCAAAGCTCAACCCCGTGGTTGCTAAGGTGAGTTACGGTATTGTGCGGTACCCTGTTGTTGCTTTGGTGAGGTACCCTCTTCCCCTCTCATTCATACTTGCTGATCCCTCTCGTCTCATCCCACAACCTCTGCCCTGTCTCACACCCTACCCTCCTCCGTTTATCCCCCTTCCCCTCCCTCATCCCCCCTCAGCCGCACTCACCGGACAACCGAGCGACGGCGCTGGAGTGCCGCGACAAGAAGCTGGACTGCTCTTACATCGTCCTCAAATATCTCCCTTCTCTCCCCCACACCCCCCCACACTCCCCCCCCCCACTCTCCCCACCTCACAACCCCTATCGTAACCCCTCTCAGCCGCACTCACCAGACAACCGAGCAACAGCGTTGGAGTGTCGGGACAAGAAGGTGGACCGCTCCTACATCGGCTCGTGCACGGGCGGCAAGACCGAGGACTTCCTCGCCGCTGCGAAGCTCTTCCATGCCGCGGTTAGTGCATATGCGCGTTGCCAGTCACCTGCGAGCAGTAATTAGGATGGCTTTTGAGACATCTCAGCAGGCAAGATTAAGGTCTTCCTCGCCGCTGCCAAGCTCTTCCACGCCGCGGTCAGTGCACCTGCCTGTTGCCATTCCATCACAGATAGGCATCTGGTTTTTAGTAGCTCGCAAGCAGGCATGTGAAACTGGACCCACTGTAGCTGTGCTTGGCAGAAGAAGTTGTTGGGTTCTTGGCAGTCTGAATGAATGCATGTGTTGTTTCTATGTGTGTGTGTGCGTGCACGTGCACCATTGCTGCAGGGCAAGAAGGTGGTGGTGCCGACCTTCCTGGTACCTGCTACTCAGAAGGTGGGTTTCACTAGCAATGCTCGCATTCCAAAGGCCATTTCCCATGGGCCTCAGCACGGCAATCAGGTTTCTCCACATCGCACCATCCTTCCTGTTCTGTCCTATTCCTGCTTCTACTTCTGGCCTCTGTTCTCTCCATTCTTCCTGCCACCCATTTAAGAAACTACCAATCCTCACCGCCCCTTGCCCCCCGTCCCCCCCTTGCGGTGTGCTGGTTGCCCCTCGATGTGTTGCTCGCCCCACACGGCCCTCAGGTGTGGATGGACATTTACACCATGCCTGTGCCGGGGGCGGATGGCAAGACCATGGCGCAGATCTTTGAGGAGGCCGGCTGCGACACTCCTGCTGCCCCCTCCTGTGCTGCATGCCTGGGTGGGCCCAGGGATACTTACGCCCGCATGAACGAGCCCCAGGTATGGATTCATGCTGCATTGACCTGCACATGCTGTGTTGTGGAGTTTTCGAGTTGCTGATTTTGTTTTTTTTTGTTTCTGGTTTTTTTTTTTTTTGGTGCTTTTATCTTGCCAGGTGTGCGTCTCCACTACCAACCGCAATTTCCCAGGCCGCATGGGTCACAAGGAGGCTCAGATTTATCTGGCCTCGCCGTACACTGCCGCGGCTTCAGCCCTCACTGGCCACATCACTGATCCTAGGGAGTTCCTTGGCTGATAGCTGTAGCTTTTGAAATGTTGCTTGTATTGAATTTGATTATTACCAAGGTGGTCAACGGTGCTGCTCTATTTTCCAGGTTGGCTGAAGGGTCATGTGACTTTCATTGAGCAACATCATGTCATTCAGAAATGTTACCTGAACTAGTAGATAATCTCTTTTATGCAGAATTCAAAACATATATCGATTTTCACGTCAGTGTAGTCTGAGGTGACAATCGACCCGGCAATCGTTATAGGAACAAGTGGCACTTATCCATACTGTCTGACGGGGTGCTTGCAATGCAAGCTACGAAGAGCATCACCATCATCGTCACCATCTGAACCGGACCGAACCCAACTTCTTTCGACAGATCCTCTGGGTTGGATGGATCCAACCACACCACAGGCTGGAAGGGTTGTGTTGTGTCTTGGGAGTTGGGAAGTTGGAACTCCGGAGCATTTGTTCTGCTGGATGCCATGTTTCTGCCATTAGGCTTGTAATCTGCATCTAGCTCCTAGGTTTCCGTTGGACATACGGAGGTGATTCTGCGCGACTTACTTAGACGTAAGGTACTTACCCGCAGTATTTAGGGAGGAAGAAATTGTCGCGCTTGTTTCGGCGTAGTTGGTTTTCAACCGCTTCCCAGAGTTGATTCACAGATCTTAACTCCAGTGCTTGCTGTTGGGAGTGGGCGCGGTGGGTCATAGTTGAGTGCATCACCGAGGAAGTAAAAATATAAATCGGCTCTTCTTACTTCGCTAGCACGATATGGCTGCCGTGGGTCCACATTCGGGACAAACAAATCAACGGATAACTGCTCCCTCAGCATATGGAAACCAGGGTCGGATCCAGCAAGGCGCTCTCGTGCAGCCGTCTCAGTTAGGCCAAGTTCAGGCTCCTGGCCAACCACTGCTTCCTCCGCCGCAAGTTCAAGGCCTTGGCGCTCCGAATCAAGCTAGCCAGCCTAGCCAGCCAAGCCAATCTGGCCAATCAAGGCATGTCCTTAGATTGGCGACCTTTTCCGGATTGTAACTTAGTTCGATCATAATATCAAACGTTTTTATTAACGCAATGGACGCGTTTTTAAATTGCAGCGATCAAGATTGGAAGTCACAGTTGAAGCTACCTCCGTCTGATACAAGGTTCAGGACCGAGGTATGTCATTGATCTCATATTTCCTCGCTTTTTTTTCAGCCCTTATAGTGACGAATTACTTATTTAATTCCCGTTTCAGGATGTCACGGCGACAAAAGGGAACGAGTTCGAGGACTACTTCTTGAAAAGGGAGCTTCTGATGGGAATCTATGAGAGAGGGTTTGAGAGGCCATCCCCTATTCAGGAGGAGAGTATACCGATTGCCTTGACGGGAAGAGACATCCTTGCTCGTGCCAAGAATGGAACTGGCAAGACTGCTGCCTTCAGTATTCCTGCTTTAGAGAAGATTGACCCCTCGAGGAACGTCATCCAAGGCAAGTCGTCGTGTTCTTGTGAACTGCTTTCTGTTAACGACTTTTTCCAGTCTAACCCTTCTTTTTTCTCCGTCACTTTCTCTCCCTTTCTCTCTATTGCAGTCGTCATCCTGGTCCCTACGAGAGAGCTTGCGCTGCAGACTTCTCAAGTTTGTAAAGAGCTTGCGAAGCACATGAACATTCAGATCATGGCGACGACGGGTGGCACAAGTCTCAAGGACGACATCATGCGTCTCTACCAACCAGTGCATCTCCTTGTCGCTACGCCTGGCCGTGTACTAGATTTGGCGAACAAAGGCGTGTGCAACCTTAGAGAATGCAACATGCTGTGCATGGATGAGGTGTGTTTTGTTACTTGAGATCTGAACATACCCTTTACTTCTTTCTTTGGTGACCGTGGCTCATAATTTGCTTATCTTGTGTTATGGCAGGCCGACAAGCTTCTCTCTCCAGAGTTTCAGCCTCTTGTGGAGCGCCTTATTGGCTATCTCGCTCCAACGCGACAGATTCTCTTGTACTCAGCCACCTTCCCTGTGACCGTGAAAGCGTTTAAAGACAGATGGCTCAACAAGCCTTACGTCATTAACCTCATGGACGAGTTGACCCTCAAGGGTATCACTCAATACTACGCCTTTGTGGAGGAGCGGCAAAAGGTCCATTGCCTCAACACCTTGTTCTCTAAGGTGCGTCTCCTTGGTGCAACCCGATCTGGCAATTCTGAAACGGTAAATGCTTCAGGCTGATCTTTGTGCTTTTTCTCACGCGTTATTTTCTTTATCTGTTGCAGCTACAAATCAACCAGTCCATCATTTTCTGCAACTCCGTCAACCGCGTGGAGCTTTTGGCCAAGAAAATCACGGAGCTTGGCTACTCTTGCTTCTACATCCATGCAAAAATGCTGCAGTCCCATCGCAATCGCGTCTTTCATGATTTCCGCAATGGGGCCTGCAGGAACCTGGTCTCGTCAGGTAAGTTCTGCTTTCGTCTTTCTTTGATTTTGATTACGTCGTTCGTACCTGCAAGCTATTTAGACTCTTAACTGTTTACTATGTGCCGTTTTTATTTCAGATCTTTTCACACGAGGAATTGACATACAGGCTGTGAATGTCGTCATCAATTTCGACTTCCCTAAGACGTCTGAGACCTATCTCCACAGGGTACGTCTTTTATCTTCATTCTACATCGTTACTTTTTTTTAATCAAATGTGGTGTTTAAGTTCGCTTGTTTCATTGTGCAGGTCGGACGATCTGGAAGGTTCGGACATCTTGGCTTGGCGATCAATCTTATTACATACAATGACCGGTTCAATCTGTAAGTCCCTGTTTGCCGACGTGTACGACATTATCGATGTTACCGGCTTTTCTTGCCTCTGGAATCTCATTACATTTTGAATGCGTCTTGCAGTTACCGGATCGAGCAAGAGCTTGGAACGGAAATAAAGCCCATTCCTCCACAGATCGATAGGACGATCTACTGCTCTTAGGAGACCAAGGAGGGGTGGGGGGAAGGGGGCCGCGGCTGGATCTGTTTGGATGGATTTCTACGACTGACTGGGGGTATGGGAATGGCTAAGTAGCCGTGGGTTGCAGGAGGAGGCTTTACTGTCCGATCGAGTCGATTGTGAATACAGTAGTAGGTCGTCAAGCGTCGAGGATGTCTTGGGACTCGTGGAAGAGACGGTTGAAGCGTGCGGCTTCATGACTGATTATATATGGAACGGGGTCCGGAGCAGCAGTATTTTTCAACGGAGATAGAAGAGAGGGTTGGGGGAGGGAAGGCAGCTGCTGGATGGACGGGGGCTGGTGTATGCGAGTTCGAAAGGGCATCCTGGTCTTTTTTTACTTTCTTTTCTTTTTTTTACTGACATTCAGTCTTGACCACGACTGTCCAGCTGTAGCGGCCAGTAGCGGTATTGCGTCGTTTCAAGCAATATTGGTGGTGACTGTCTTGAAGGCATGAGGGAGGAGGCTGATGGAGGGGAATCATATTTCTTGGCGGACATCGTTCGGCGGCGGTGTTAAGGGTGAGCTGTTTAAAGCGTAGCAGCAGCTGCAGCATTAGCAGCATTAACAGCAGCAGCAGCAGCAGCAGCAGCAGCAGCAGCAGCAGAGACAGAGGCAGCATCAATCAACAGCAAGGCAGCATCCGCAACAACAGCAGCAGCAGACAGACAGCAAGGCGCCGACTTGGGTGTAGGTCGTTGATAAGCAGCATTGAATTCGTCGTGTTGGGAATTCTGGTTGGAGCTGGATGGGTGCTGATGGATGTTGAGGTTTCAACGGTCCCGAAGGGGCTCTTTGTGGGGAGCGTGGTTTCGTCTGGGAAAGTGCCTCATGGGCGTTATATCGGCATTTTGTGGGAGGGTTCAGCAGCTGCAGTCGATGATTGTGGGATCTAGGCTGGGGAGCTGATGGCAGCTGTTGGTAAGCTTCCGCCAGGAGGGAGGGGATGGCGTGTGAGCAGTTTAGGGTCAGACGAACAGCAGACGCAGTTGCAAGCTGAGGTAGTTTGTGAGGAGGATGTTGGGGAAACAGGAGGAAACTATGCTGGAGCTGAATTGAAGGTTGATAAACGGATCGCAGTGAGGTGGATGGGAGGAAGACAGACGAGGGTAGTGGAGATGGTGAAGAGGGGAGGAGAGATTGTGGAAGAGAAGGGCCTGTGGAACATGAAGAGGGAGGGCCTTTTTGTGGACGAGAAGGCTTGGACTGTGAAGTTGGTTTTACTACTGGTGAATCATGTGATGGAGCTTCATGGCTTTGGTGCTGCAGTGTTGGGTCAACAGTTGTATGTTCTGTGCAGGTTCGGGTGTATCTGTGATGTCACTTCGGTGGTGAACAAGGCTGGGAGCAGAGGAGGGTGTGGAAGCATAGTGAAGTCGGATGGAAGTATAGTGAGGAACAGGCTCCGCAGCTGAGTTCTGGGCCCAATTTCATGCCAAGTCTGCCCCAGTGTAATGCTTCATGGGACGCGCTCAGACAGTCCCATGTGGATGTCAGCGCCATTCAGTGCCTGTGGCAGCTAGATGCATGTTGCAGTGTTCCCAGGGGAATGCTGCCAGTTAAAGGCCCTGGGAGTGGTAGGAGCCAGTGCCAGGTCATGGTTTGCTGCTCAGCCTCATATCTGGTCTTTTGTGTGTCAGATTTGCTGGCTGATGTCTGGCACTGATGCTGAACCTTGAGAATGAGTGAAATGAAAACGTTATCGAAACCTGGTGGTACTCACAATGTAAATGCACAATAAAATGGTGGTAGGCAAACTGTGTGATCCACCTACCCAGCAGACCAGAAACTTCACAAACTTGTTAAGAAATGCTTCATTACACAAGTTGAGGCAAAAACAACACATCAAACCTCATTTCCCAGCTTGACTCATCACTATTCATCTACTAGAACACTATGCAATATCATTTTCTCTTCCCTTTCTTGGCAGCTGCTGCCTTGCCAACACCTTTACCACCCTTGACAGGAGGAGGCTCCTGCACAAACGATAGGACAGGTGAAGCATGAGAAATACGGTAAGTGGATTGGAACAAAACAAGAGTGCGG